ACATACAGAGTATATTACAACGACGGGATTCTCCTTTCTAGGGCTCTAAACATAAGGGTACATAATAATTCTCGTCTCCGACGTCTACCGACGCTTGCAGCCGCGGACCACTGTCAACTCTGCAGCCATGCCAGTTTCTAACTCCTACGCACTAAGTACAAATTCCAATCGGGACCATTGTTCCAATGTGCTCCCGTACAACATCGCTACTTTCTGCAGAATCAACGCCTAAGGAAGGATAAATTTGCCAAAAAGAATTAAAAGTGCCAAGATCCCAAAGCACGTTATTTCAGCCTAAATCCGGACATTTCGCGGCTAAAACGAGGAATGCCGAAACGTCGAAAAGACATTAAAAACTAGAGGTCGGAGATCCCATGCCTTTGTCAGAGGAACACTGTTTTAGATAATTGAACATGTGTATTCTTTACTTTTTTAATAATCAATTTGGTCTAGACTACAAAAGAATCGCCGTACTCCTTTTTACTCCTTCTACTCCTTTGTACAGAACACTCTGAAATGGTTTGCCATAAATTTACAGACGCACCGTCACCCGTGTTAGGCCCAGTACATTATTTGACTTTTGACTGTTACTGGAAAAAAAACTGCTGCAAGAAATTCTGCTTACTGTATTATGATCAATGTGTCACGACAGTGTCGCAAAATATAATAAGATAGGGTGAAAGGGAAGATTCAGTACAGGGTGACTACTACTGTTTAGCAGAGACTTATTGCTTTTATGACAATACAAGAGATGTTTGTTGTTACACTATGTTATTTTATTCAATTTGTGTCATTTGTATTCTACAGTTAGTATTTTCAAAATCTAGATATCTTGATTTTCGGTTCTTCATGTTGTTTATCCTTGCATTGAATTTAAGGTCTCCAATGGACGTCATCCATAAAATTACTTGGTTTGGCCGTAGAGAATGACCTGACGAATGTCCAACATTTCCTCCTCCCACTGTAGTAATAGAACAGCCCCTCGATTCAAGCAACTGATTCCAGATGGAGTTCCAAGCTGTCCCCGATTGAATCCAAACAGAGGTTAGTGGGGGAGGATCGTTATATTTCTAACGCAAAAGGTCTTGAACTTGACCTTGGCCTCTACAACGGTAAACCTACCTTCAAAAAATCATGAACATTCCTTTAAATATACTCGAGTTACTGTGCTATCAAGTGACAAACACAAAAGGTCCACTGCAATGACGTAGGAACCCCCCACGAAGTTCAAACTTGCACTTGACTTCGGCCTTAACAACGGTAATCTGCCTGTTAAAAATCATGGACGTCCAATCATGCCTTCAAGACTTATTATGCTAAATCCACAGTTACCCACAATACGGCGGGACAAATCCATTGTCTTTCTGACAAAGACAACAACAAAAGAAAGCGCTTTGCGGACAGTCGCCGTTTTACGAAAATCATGCAGCGAGGTATTGTGGGATGACGTAATCAGTTATTGCATAACGTCATTTGACCCCTGACCTCTTCCAGCCTTCGCGCGTGAAGTAACTTTCGGGGTTTTCCGCGTTTTACAGCGCCGCTAAGTTTTCGAGTAGAAAACACCCCTATTCCCAGTACATCCGGGACACCCGCACACAGGGCATGTACTGTGATCCCGGATATATCCAAAGCTTAAGGATTAAAAAGGTTGTCATTGGGTGGAGATTGGAGAATATGACTAACCGATGTAATTCACGATGGAAATGGAATTGGAATCCTATTTTCATAATCAATATGACAAAAAGTATAATTTCCTGTGTTAATATGGTTTGAATGGTTGGCGAAGTTATGAGTCGTGATACTCTTGTTTGTAATAAGGTAACACCGACATAATTTTTTGATGACATCCTCTGATGACCCCCCCCCTAACTAGTGCGCGCGGGCGAATTGAAAATCCGGCCAAATATTACAAAGATATATTTTAAACCACTAAAAAAAATTCTACAGGAATACAGAGCTGATATTGTTAATGCTTTGTTAGCCGGCAAATGCTGGAAATTTATGAATCGGCACTGTATGCATGTACTGAGTTCTTGAGCCGTGGAGCTTAACTACCATGGCCTAGAGCCAGGTCAGAGCATCGGTGGCCATGGTTTTTTTCGAGAACAGTCGAAAATCAATGTGCGCGTGAATGTCATCCATAAAATTAAATCGATTTGGCAATATATATATATATATGACCACGAACATTTCTATCTCTTTCTACAAATGCATCAAAACAATCGCAGCACGCATACAGTACGCATCAGGTGCAATTTAACCAAACATCCTATAAAGAACTGACAACTTTTACCTATACGGTTCTGGAGATTGGCGTCTGTCTCTCAAAATGTCCCCTTTTTGACGTTTTCTAATTCTTACGGGGTCGTCCCAGACGTCCCTCACAAGAAGTCTGTGGTAGAACAATGTTGACGTGGAACTGAGCGGAAAGCTCTGTCCAGATACTCCCTCAAAATCCGTTTATAGTTCCGGCTATGGTCACAACATCCGTGTACGATCGAAGTGTCACTAATGCTCGGCTTTACATTAGGCCACACTGACTTAATTGTATGGATGACATCCACGCGCGCATTGGTTTTCGACTGTAGCCTTAAAAAAAAGAAAAAAAAAATCACGTCCACCGAGGCTCTGGCCTGGGTAGTCCATGGTAGTTAGCGACAATACGGAGCCGGGTACCCAGGCTACCGAAGCTCCACAACTCAAGAACTCAGTACATACGTACAGTGCCGATGCATGAATTCCGCAAAATGCTAGCATGTGCCGGCTTGTCGTATACGTCGCTAAGTACTGTCGCGAATTCACAATACAAGCTTTTTATTCCAGTGGTTTAGTAACATTTTTAATTTTGGCCGAAATTGTTTTGTTCGCCCGCGCGCACTAGTTTGGGGACTTCAGAGGATGTCATTCATAAAATTAATTCGCCTGCAGAGTGCCGTC